GCGGGTATTAAGCAGTTGTCACGCAAACGAAAAACGAGCGTAAGATGACTGCGCTCGTGCGACAAAATCGTTGAGTACTTCTCCAGTTCCTGCACTGGTACATGAGAGGCGTCTCTTAGCGCACACTGAAAAACGTATATGATTTCTTATTCGGGAGATGATATAATCCTTTGGTAAGTCACAAACGGTAAGAAAACGCATAAAATGTAGTCTTTAATTAGGGACATCTGACGTTTCGGACCAAGCTCGGTCCGTCTTCAGAGTACAATGACAAAAGGCACGTAATGTTTTTATTCGGGTCTGGTTGACCCCTATGATTAACGGTGCCGCGTTTGTTTTCTGGTCTTCAGCAGCCGTCTAAGGTTTGCGGTCCATGTGTCGCTGACGTCTGTTCTGAGGTCACGATTGATGCAGTTAGTCGCTCGGATCAATAACGCCTCCTTGACTTTGCGGGAAAGATATTGTTGTTCCAAAAAATTATATCATCTCCCGCATAAAGAAATCATGTGCGCTTTTCATTATATATATATGAGTTATATACAGGGTCGGTCACTGAATTCTTCTAAAGAGGGTAATTTAAGTCAAAATTAATTTGTTAACTTGATCCAGCTGAATTAAATCAAGCTGAAACTTAATTGTTGAATTATTGAAGTAAGTTAGAGACGGTGACGTGACATTTTGCACACGTGAGTGTTTAGTTTGTTCTATATCACAAATAGTTGCTAGAAATTAATATACGATGGGTAAAAATGAAAAGTAACATACTTGATTGTAAAGCAGAAATTGGAATAAAATAAAATCTGGAGTACAAACAGCACGCATATATGAAGAATATGGAGTGAACAAACAATCTGTATCAGGTATTTCTAAAGCGGTACTGAAGATATACTGTACTATAATTCTCGCACACGCATGGGCCAGTATCCTTCAATATTCCACATTTCCCGCGATTTTGGCCAAACAGGAAAAAGGATGCCGTTTTGCAAAGTGAATTGCCCTGTTGCGCAAGGAGTGGATGAAAACGTCTCACAGCGCCTGTTTACATGCTCTTAAGGTTGGTCAGCTTCTGGCATGTCTACATATGCCTTTGAAGTCAAACATATTTGCGCAGTGGCTCATGAAGAAAGCTGACATTACTAGGTCACCCTCTTCAAGTTTATTGTAAATGGCTTGAAAATCCTGTGATCCGTAAATCTAGAAGAACAAAGTTAGGTATCTGCACCAAACGATACCGCATTGGAATGAATAAGGTAGAGGTCAGGTGACCTGAAATTTCAAATATGCCATTAAAAATGCTGAACGTTCCGAAAGCTTGTGTAATTGGATTCAGAAAAATCACAATCATCTTTATACACGTTTATGCTGCTTTCTAAGAGCTTACTTTTCAAAGTCTGTTCGGCGGCGATCAGGGCTAGAAGCACATACCTGAAACATGTATTCCTTTATGAAGAATGGAAATTGTATGCAGGCCGGGAATTCTAGGAGTGAATCGAACGATGTAAACGCCGTCGGATGCGCTGGTCAGTTCGACGTCTTCCACTAAGCCGTCCGGATGCATCATCATTGCGGACATATCCGCAGGATTAGCCTCTAAGCGACAAACATAGGTTAGACAGGTCAAAAATATGTGACGTCCTAAATCGAATGCAAAAACAATCACTTGCCAGAAGGTTGAAAATAAAAAAAAACATGCATACTAGTGCATACACTTCAACTTAACTACCGCCTTTTCGAAAATGGTAAAAATTTAATGGCATCCTGTGTCCCTCCCTGCCCTCACTTCTGCTTTGCACAGAGTATATGAGGACACGTAAACAACGACCGTTTTTTTGTGGATACAGTTCCATCGACGACAGATCCGCCGGCACTGAGGAGCTTGTTCATTGTTGCATTCATTAGCAATGCTGAACATGCCACAGGAAGGCCATAAATTGCACAAATTGATCCTTGATACATTTGTAACATTAGATAGCGGCGAGAAGCACAGCAACCATTGTAAATGCCCATACATTTCTGCTTATCTTGCTTGTCGTGTAGTTGCAATATAACTCAAAACGATTTTCATCACGAATTTTCCGGTTGATTCTACCGTTTTCCAATGGTGCATTATTTCCCGTTGCAGAATATAGCCAACAAAGTTCAGATTTCTGGCTAAACTGGTTTGGCTAAATTGCCTCACGTTCGATGTGGACCATGGATGATGGTGATTAGGAAAAGTTTACATTATTCAAATAGAATAAAAGTCTGTCATTTCACGCTCAGCATTTTTTGCAACGTATTTGTGAACCCATCAATATGACCCTCCGGCATTAATTGAGCTCAACTTAACGCTGACTTATTTTCAGTGTAGCTTTTGAACGAATGCTCCATACTTGTCGTTCAGATGAAGGGAAGGCGCACGAAAGATGGGACTGGATTTGAAAAGCCATATGGGAGATGGCCAAGCGGCAATCAGAGGATCAGGTGGGTCGGTTATACTGAGCACAGGCACTATAACTCTGTGGAATAGAGCCCAATAGCTTTCTTGATTGGCGGTGCATTGGATCTGCAAGTAAAACATCGTAAAAGTCAGTCAATTTCGATGACCGATTATCCTTTCTGGTCATGGAGACAGATACTTCAGACAGCGGCACTGACGATACCGATCCTATTACGGCTACTGAGCTTCCGCGGAAGATATTCAGGGTCTGGAGCACTGTCCGTCGAGACACTTCTTCCAGGTTATTCTTGGTATTTCCGGGGTCTTCCGAAGGTTGGCTGAATAAATAGTAGCTGTTCCACCTTTCCCTGTTTCAGGAAGAATTCACAACAGGTATCAAAACGATCCAGACTTTTCAATCTGGAGAAGCAGTGCTTGCAAACTAAGGCTTCCCCGGATCTCAGATTTTTTTTGGTCGAGGAGTATGATCACAACGGCTGGCCTCAGAAAGGCAATTTCAGATGCTTGACATGACTTTACTCATGAACATAGGAGAGAATGGGGATAAAAATCGACTGGAATACAAACAGATTCTTTTACAGACTCAGTCCTGCCTTGGTCATATCGGTTCAAGAAATCGATATCTTTCACCCATTTTCCATCATTAATAAACACAACCTCGAGAAAGAACCTCGTGAAAGTGTGATGCTGAAAATGCTGTAAATGAAGTTAACTAGTGGTACATTCGTTACATGGTGTCATCGCTTCAAGGATTTTTGTAATTTTAAAAAGTGAGCATAGCGAATTTGAGGTTGATGCACGAAACGATTGATTGCATGAATAATTCATGACCGACTGACCAGTGAATGACTCTGTTATTTGCTTGAGTAATCACGCAATGACCAATATTTTAAATGTCATCTTTCCTTCCTAAGCGACTGAGTAACTGAATTATTAAATCGTTACTCCACCGAGTGATGAACTACTCTCTGTCTTCTTAACTGACCAAATAATTAAACGAGTATCAGAGATATCGAGCGACTGACAGGAGGATGTCCCTTTGCTTCAGTGATCAAACAAATTACTACTTTCCTTCATGTCTTTCTTCCTTTTTGGAGGGCCGATTGACTGATGAAAGATTCGCTGATTGAATCAGTACCCACACGACTGTTGAATGACTTACTAATTGGACATAAGACCTATGAGTTACTGATTGACTACCGGAGAGATTGACAGAAAAAGATAAACAGTTTTTTAAAACTTAACTAGTTCAGTCTTTCAAAGGTAGTCTAATAGAAAACCCGCATGGAACTTTTTAAAACCGTTTGTTCGAAAACCTAAATGTACGCTAAAACAGTCCAGTGAACTTCTATGAATTGGGTTGACAACGAAGTATGTAAGTTTTTACATAATATGTAACGGCGTATATAATTATTAGGCGAAAGTTAAAACAGTGTGGATTCTTGAAGATTCTTTTTTCTCTTGAGTACAGAGAAGTGAAAAATCAGCAATCATTTAATACGAAAAAGCTTTTATGAACAATGCTTCTCTGTTATGCCGCAGAAGCTTGATCAATATTTGAGATTGTTTGTAGGGGCGAAGTATCCGGTGCAGATAAAGCAGAGCGAAGTTTGAAGACAAAGTTTCTGTGTTCAAGTCAGTCTTCGTCCAAATGACTGAAAATCTCTGATTCTCGGTGCAAGCAGCTGAAAGGGGCTTTTTGAGAATCGCTGGACTCGCATGTCGGTGTGGTCCAGAGTACAGATATCCGAGAGAGCATTAGTATAGATAGGCTTCTTCTTCAGAGTGGAAAGTTACAGCTGCGATAGTTTAGGCGTGTCTTGTGTGTGTCTGTTGAGATCATCGTCTTGCATCGACTGCATAGGCAGAACGTGCCTGATTAGTGATGTCCACTGCCGTGTATCCACAGGTTTTCAACATTTTCGCCGTCAGTTACCGTTCATTGCAATGCAGAAAGAAATATTCCTCTTTGAGAGCAGCACTGACTCTACCTTATTCTTCAAAGTAGCATATTGTCTTCCTGGTCGATGTTCTGCCAGGATGTAAGATGCTCATGGGCAGCTGGAGTAAATGGTGTATGCCTAACCAGTGTGTCTAACAGGGCCAACCTCATTTTCTTAATCTTCACATCTATCGAGACTACCTGTGGCTGGAAAGGAAGGAAGTAATTCCTTTCGTAGTCCTGTCATTCAACCCTCATTATGTGCCGAAGCCAACGCTGCTGTACGGAGGTCAACTGCCAACTGTTTGTTCCTTCGTAAGAATAACTGCCTCCGTGCCGTACAGCAACACTGACCTGACAGAGACAAGGTACAGGTGAATTTTTGTGAGATGAGAGACTTCTTTCTCAGTCCAAAGAATTCCAAAAGTATTTGAGACAATGCGATCCCCGGTTGCAAATGCTTCCACAAAAATATGAAACAGTTACTACTTGCTCAGCCAACCGGCCAAAGAATAAAATGAGTGAAGTGACTCGACGGACTCGGGACTCTGCTCCAGACTTGGATCATCTTCAGCCAAATCTCAGAACAAACAACAGAGGATCGGGAACGTTGGAGGCGCTGTCTGGCGCTACTGCTTCCGCGACCCGATTTGGTAAACAGCCACTGAAACGGATCTGACCACCGGAGCGAAGTGACATAAAATATGCTTTACTCTACCACAGCAATAGCTTTGAAAACTTTCATGAACCCCAGAACTACAACAGTCAATGCAACCTTAATCAGGGAGTGACGTATGTCCTCACGTTTTTTCAGCAATAGCTATTATACTTAAGCATCCATGACTACATTTACTACCTCAACAACATTCCGCATTCCTAAGTTCAAAATGATGTCACTTTTCCTCAGTCGTTTAGCTTTCTGAATAAAGGATGAGGTTTGCATGCTGGTAGAGAAAAGCAGCGTTTAACATACCGGAAGAGGCCTTAGCCTTGCTTAACTTATAGAAACTGACAAATTCAAGCTATCAATGACGTATAGCTTCAAAATTCGCGTTCTATGCATTTCAGATGGAAAAACAGAAACTGGTGAGTGGTTCGGAAAAAGTGGAATGTTGCTGACAGCTGGTTAAAGCGTATATGCCATAGCCTGCTGTGCCTACGCTATATTTATTACACTCAGAATCGAGAGTAATAAGTAAATGTATAGCTCTTTTTTTGTCCAGCTTCAGAACAAACGAATGAGCAGATAATCGTAATTGACTCATGCAAGGACTAAAAAAATATTAGTCATTTTCTTGTTGTCTTTTTTAAACGATTACAAAAGTTACAACCGTCATAAGTGCAAAGATTGAACGCACGATTAAGACTGAGGTGGATAACTTCAAGCACGCAGAAAGTACGACTTCAGGCGAAAGAGTGCGAATAGCAAACAGGAAGAGAGTGGTGGCTGGCAATGCGAAATCGTACCTGACGAATGGCGGTTAGCTCCGCAGGCCATCGCTGCTGTGGAAGCGAAAAGTAGACTCTGGCCACCACCACCACTGAACGATCGTTCGCGAGTCAATGATGACCCCTCCGGCGATCGGCTATACGTTTTGACCAGTATCTGTCGTGTGCGCGAAAATGCGGAGAGGAAAAACGTTTAAGCGACGGTGTGAGAGTGATGCATGGCGTGAGTCTGAGAACTGACTGAGTCTGTTTAACTAACGGTGGCGCCGGCATGAACGCTTTGGCTTAAAGGCAGCAACTAGCCGAGGCTCGCGTCCGTATGAGATTCAGAAAAGAGGCTGAAAAATAATACTTTCATGCCATGGTCAGTCACGGACAAAATGAAGGAAAGCTCGTTATGAATTATGAAATGTCATTAGTGATCTGGAAGAAGACCTC